GGGTTTTGGGAAAGCTGCAAAAAACAGGCCTCAGAGACAGCAGAACTGTGATTAGAGCTAAGCAGTTGCCATAAGATTTGTCAGAAGAAAAATTATGTAAGAAAAGTAGAAATTATGTAGAAAAGTAAGGGCAAATAGAACAATGGTCTGTGTATTAATGCTTGTCTAAAATAACTCCCTAAGCTGCAAAATGTATATCTAGCAAGATATTAGGAAGTTCTAAGTTTAATAATGGAGTTCTGTGCATTGTGTTTTAAGGCTTACAAGTAAGCATTGTATTTGAAATAAGCAAGCATTGTTTTAACTGAAGGTACATGTGCTTATAGTGGTTGGATGGAACTACTGTCAATATGTTTTGCTTTGTGTGATTGGTCAATAAACTTTTAAAGTAAGTTGTAACATTAAGTCCTTAATCTGCTGCCTGGGAAGTGAGCTGATGGCATCTTCCGATTGTCATAACCATGTAATGAGGCTGATGCTGAAAAATAAAACTGCTCAAGACAGTTCTGTCCCATTCATGATTTGTACATAACCTCCATCCGGCGATATATATGGTCTCTGTTTCCTTTTTCTCATCCCCATGTGAAAATGTCCAGCCAGAAAAAAATATTTCATTCTGTGCCCCAAACAATTTTATTAAAATAGGAATCATGCTTATCTGGCATTCACTTTATGCCTGATGATGTTGCATACATAAAATGAAACCTCAATACCCTTGCAGTAGATGAGACCTTGACTATAGGTTTGAAACAAATTGTAGTCCTCATATCTCCATCTAGGAAGCCTAAGCACTGCTGGACCTCAGATTTTAATCTACTAAATCAGAGAAATCTGTCTCCTTCACAACATTGGATGCTGTTCACACAAGGAAAATCTGGTTTCAACACAGACATTATGACATCCAGAAGTAGTTCGTATGGAGTTCAAAGTTGTTTGTACTCTGTATGTTGAAGTAGAACAGTTGGAGAGGACCTCATTCAGCCACTGTAGGTACCTACCTGTGTGAACAGGTGGGTAGGGCAAAAAGTAGTTAGCTGCGAAAGTGTGAGTAGCAATCTTAGGTTACACATGTGTGGGGAAACTGTGAGGCTTCTGGTTTATTTCCTCATCATATTTACAGCTCAGATTGCTACAAATGTCTTTTTATTTTCATCTTTGATCTGCTACAGTACCTTAAGCTGGATTAATTGAATTTTTATTCATGTTATTAGGAGGGTCAGCATTGATTTCCACAGACAGGTTGCTATCATTTACTGTTACACAAAACAGTTGCTAAAATATTTGAAATTTGACTTGTAAACATCTCTGCACTCACCTCTTTGAACTGTGGTTTGGTTGTAAATCCTTTTTTAGAAGAACTGATCCTTGTGCAACCAGATGGGCAAATATCTACCACCAATTCACACCCCCATTGAATAACTCATAGGTAGTAAATTAACATGTATTTTTGTAGATGTTGCGCCATTGAAATTTGATGTACATCTTCTAAAAATGAAATGCTCTTTTTTTGTGGATATTATTTTTCATTTCTTCTAATTTTATTCCCTTCATAAGGGATCTTAGATGAACAGCTGTAAAGTACTGTTGCTGTGTTATACAGCACAGCCTGGAAAATCATTTGAATATGAGGAAATTACCTCAGTCTTTATATTTTTGTCTATGGCAATTTATGAAATAGGTAACTGCAGTCCAGGCCAGAACATAAGTATTTTGGCTTTTTTATCTCTTTTATTTTTATTTTGAAAAGAAATTTATTTAAATTTAAGCATTATTTAAGGCTATTATTCCCCCCAACACCTTGGATTTAATTTCAATTACAAAACCCTGATCCAAAAAGTCAGACTCACTGTTTGCATCTTTAAATTTATTCTTAGTAGAGCATTATTGTTAGTATTTTTTCACAATCTTCAACAGTTTCTCCTGTCATTTGGAAAACAAGTTTTTTCTGTGAGTCATAGTAATAAATTATTTCATCAAAGTTCTCTGTAAAAAATTAAAGATAGTATTAGTTGCTTAACTAAAGTTGCTATAATAATACAATATTTAATATATTATTACAATTTACAGCTTTTTTTTTTTCTTTTTTTTCTTTTTTTTTTTTTTCTGACAGGACCACATAGCCCTCTTTTCAATGCTAAGAATCATAGGACATTCCATATTGTTAAAAAACACTGATGCCAGTTTAGCCCATTTCAAATAAAATCCAGTCCTTAACTCCGAAGAAAGAAAATAAAAACAAATAACAAAGAAAAGAAAAAAGAAACAAGATTAAACACAGTTAAATAAATCTATTTTTAACATGAGTTTCTGTCATACAATTTGGAAGGAACAGAAGAGTAGAATAATTTTAATTGCAAATCTTTTAACAGAAACATATAATTTGTAGCTGCATAGTTCAGTCTGAATCTTTAAAAGGCCAAAAAATTGGTTTTGAACAAAACAAAGAAAAACAAACAAGTGAAACCAAGCAGCTTCTGAAGAATTACATAAATAAATTGTCATTAAGGGTTAATTTAAAAACCTCAAAATTATCAGAATTTTAAAATTTCATTTTCACTTGTGGAAGTGAAAATATTATAATTTTTTTTTCAGTCTTTCTCCTTGTATTTATAATCCTGTGTAAGTTTTTGCATATTCAAACCCTGAATGAAACTTGTTAGAGTTCAGAAAAAGAAAGGTCTATCAAATCAAAGCTCAAAGCTTTGGCTCAACATGACTTTTGCATAGAGCTGCAGATAATTTGACCAAACCCGTGGACAAACCATGGGAACATTTCAATCTTTCAGCTGATCACATGTTTATTTATCTTATCCATGTGTGTTTATCTGTGCTCAAAGGGACCTTGGGCTTTTCAAATCCTCCCTGAAGTCAGCGGAAGGACTTGCTCTGAAACTGGCAGATTGTGACCCATGGCATTACTTCTAGTTCCATCTAAATGAAATGCATGAGTCCCATTGAATTCAGTGGAACTATGGACTAATGTGGAATAGGAAATGATGTGAGAACATCTCTTTGTGGATGAAAAAATAGATACTTTTATTTCATTAATTGTTTTGTGGTTTTTCATTATTTTGTTCTGTTTCTTATTCTACATGTATAGGAAATATGAAATAGGAGAATTTTACCTCTTATCAAATGTACTTAATTTTTCAGAGGGCTACCAAGGCAAAATTATGTCCTAGTTCAGACTGGGGACACTGTCAGAGAAAGGGAAAGGTGGAGGGAAGGAATGGGAAAGAAAATTCTTTTTTCTTTTGCCCTTGTTTTTACTGGTTTTCTACAAAACTATCAACAACTAGTGACTATATTTCTTATTTGTCACAAGTATGATATCTTCCAGCTTATGTAGCTGCTCTGCCTTTTTTCCTAGAACACTGAATAGTAGCTTACAATAGTTAAGTGCCACTGCCACATAGGAACTTGGTCTTGTAAAGTGCTAGGTGCCCTTCATCATCAAATGAAACAAGTAGAATTGAGCACAGTTGAATTCCCCGTGGAAATTATAATAAAGGCTGACAGAATTACATAATGCTACCAGATAATCTATCAACATTCCTCAGAGGAGGAAAAGAACATATCTCTCCTATACATGTGTAGTAACCAGAATTTGTACTAGACCAATTATTAGTTCATTTATTTTTGTCCACTGGAGAAACACGAGAAAAGAAAAAACATAGTTTTTCTTTCTCATTCAATAAGAGTAGTCTGCTGATTAGAGAAGGACTGATCTGCATTCACAGAAAACTCATTCACTGCGTTCTAGATGGTATCATGTTGCCACTTCATCCTACACTGCATTTCATACAAAAAAGCTGGTGGAGGAGCCTGTCTAGTAAAAAAACTTCCAGAAATGTGAATTTCAGGTAGACATAGAAACTTCCTGGATGCTCTGAGAATGACCCTAAGAGAGCAGGAATAAAATAGGGCTATCCCATTCTATGTAGAACACTTGCTTAGTTAGTACCTTTCTCAGGAGATTCTTGGTTTGTATCACCAGATCCTACTGTGTATTATGCTTCATCCACCTTAATTCAGTTGTATATTTGCCACTTATAAGACACATAAAATTTTGGTGCTGCAATGCTCAATGTTGTCCTGACTAAAAATACATTCAAACACATCGTGTATTTTTGAGTGATCTCTCAAAATAAATCCCTCTGCTGCCTGATTTATCCTTTGACAGAAGGTACCCTTCTTCTATGTTCAATTTCCCCACTGCTAACAACTCCATGAAAAGGTTTGTATGTCTTTGTTACAGTTGTCCCAACTGGCATTCTAGTCTTCATCCAGGTGTGCTTCTTTTTCCACCAGAGTGGGATATCATGTCTTCTTTTTTCTTGTCCTACCAGGGACAATGAGTCCTGGCAAAATCATACAAAAGGGGCAGCTGGGAGGAGTGTCTTAAGTGTTGCAGAGAGATTTGACAAAGACTGGTTGATAAAACCCTTCTGCTGAGATAGTTCTTAGTGTGAAAACAGCAAAAAGGTATAGACATGTACACAGCTGGCTTATTCAGAGGGCTGGTTCCAAGGCATTCTTATTATTTATCCTATTTCAGATGTTTGGGTATCTTTGATGCACATGTTGCATTTAAAGCACAGTAGTGTTTCCTCTGACCTGTGTAATGATGCTGTGACTGAGGCTGAAAGTGCAAGCAGGCCAAGCACATGCTCCTCAGAAGAGGAAACTGAGTCACTTCATGTGTGTCCAAGAGATGAACAGTGTAAGAGAGGGCATCTAGAGTTTGGACTGAAATTTTGAAACACTTTGCGTGCAGATTATCCCCTAGGACCCATGAATGAGATGTCCTGTGTCACCAACAGCCACTGCAACTGCTGAGATGAGGTCTGTGCTGGGACCTTCCTGTGTAAGTCAACAATTTCAAGGAGAAGTTCAGAAAAATAACTGAACTCATAAGAGACAGTACAAGAAAAGAATAACCAAACATGTCCCTTTTGCCCAAATTATTTACTTTTTTATTATAAAATCTATTTCTACAACTGAAATTCTACCTGGAAATTCACACTCCATAGTAAGGAATATAAATAAAGCAATTTTGCTCTATTTTTTTTATAGCTCTTATCCTTTGGCATTTTTGTTCTACAGTATGCTGTATTTGTACTAATTGTAGAGAACATTTTTGTCTCTCTTTGTTGAAATAGGTCTATTTCTATATAGAGCTACACTGACATATGAATCTTTCTTTTCTTTTTTTTTTTAAATCTCAATTGCATTTTGAAGAATTATAGCTGTTTCTCAGATGGATTTTCCAAGTTGGCCAAGCCTTTTTTATTTATTTTTTTCCCCAGAATGACAGTAGTTCTTTCTGTCGTCTTTTGCTTCCAAGGGAGACCTCAAGCTTGTTAAAATTTGAAAAAGTGCTGTTAAGTATCGGACACCTAGAGGTGTTCAGTAATGTAATTTCTTACAGTTACTGTAGGAAATATTGGCAAATTATATACCTCAGTTGAGGTGGTTTGTGCTCCAGTCCTATTTCTCATAAAAATACCTAGCTTTAATGAGAATTATTATACTCAGAACTAGTCATTATTTTCCCAAGCTTTTCTGAAATACTGCTGACAGCTGCTTAAAAATGACAAAATCTCTTTTTACCTCACAAAGCTACTTAATTTCTTCACAATGACGACGTTTCTGGTAGTTTGTCCTCCATGCTCCATGATTAGTGCCATAGTTAAATTTTGAAACTGCTCCTTCACCAAACTAATATGAGTAGACAATAATAACAAAAAAGGAACATTCACCATTAACATGCTTTTGCCAATCTCTTGTCAAGACTTGCCTAGGGCTGAAGCCAGAGATCTTCTGTTTATGCACTATGCTCATGAGCAATTCCTGAGTAAAGATTATGGGATAGCAAATTGAGACATATGTGCTACCATTAATTTTTTGTGGATGCATGCCTGTACCTGTACCAAGGCTCACTGACGTCAGCATGACTGAGCCCAGCTGGTAGCCTGCCTGAGCAGGGCTTATCATGGGGCTGTGGTACTGATGGGACATACTGTGAAAGATGAAGTAAGGACCAGGCACCTTCACAGACCCCTTGCTTAGGTGACTCTTCACATGTATCTTGTATTTTCCTAAAAACTAGGTCTACTCCGCAAATGAGTTTTGCTTGTGCTTTGAATAGTCACACAAGACAGGTTTCACTGTGTAAATTAGTGTGCATGTACTACCTTCAGCTCTCATGGTAGGCAGGTATCTTCTGTGCAGAGAGGCAATGCTTGCAAAAAGGACATTCATTAGCACAAATACAGAGAGAGCAGGAGACAATGCTTTGTCCCTCACTCTTTAATAGAAGAGTATAACTATATAAGCTGAGAGTCACAAGGTGTATCAGATGACACCTGCTATCTCTGTTGTTTGAAATACATCTCTCATTCCTTTATTCTTTCTTCTTTAATCATGCAGAATAAAATTATTTTTATCTCTCAAGAAGAAATATCTTTGCTTTGTTTGTAACTATTGTTCCACAGATTCTTTGGCAGCTGATGGCTTGGTTTCATCATTTATAGAACTAAAACTTCATCCTAACATTTTGTTGGTTTTTTGTCTTAAAATTATGGTGTGCAGAAGGACAGCCTTCACCTGCTATATAAAAAAAAAAAAAAAAAAAAAAAAAAAAAGAAAAATGATACTGTCTCTTTAATGAAAGAAAAGCAACAATATACTGTATTACTGAATGCAAATGCAATAAGGAATAACATATATCTCTGGTTATGTTATTTGACATTTGGCTTAGCAGTATTAACATATTGCACAAAATCTGCTTTTTCCCTATTGCAGAAAATAAGATGATAAAAGACATGGGAAATTAATTTCTTCTCTATGATCATAAAATAAATATTCTTTTTTTTTTCTTTTTCTTCTCATCAGTCATTTGCAGAAAGATTTTAGTGTTACTTCTTTGTTAAGCCAGCTCTTTATCATGTATGTGTTAGGCATACAGTACAAGGAGAAATGGAACAAGATGGCAGTTATAGCAGTGGCAAGATGCAAATTTATTCTGAAAAAAAGTAATATGTGCACAATATCAAGCATGCTTAAGTTTGTGCCAGGAAAATTATTACGAATGAAGAATGGATGGAATGGAATTTTGCATCATACATGATTACATGTTGCTTAACTTCATAGAAGAGTCTTTGTCTACTCCTGATATCCCAGGTACCACCAAGAGAAGCTTCTTACCACACTGCTAGAGTGAAAATGGCAACACTTACCCCAGCAGAATTCAACTGCAACATGACTTTTTGTTCCAGAAATTAAAGAAATAGACCTCAAAAAGATGACAGAGAAAATTCACAGACCATTGAACTGCAGGCACTAACTCCAGGTAGGGAGAGGGGGATGAATTTATTACATCTTGTATTTGTAATTGAAAGTCTGTAATTATTTTCTGCTTCATTTTCCCCAAGTTTAATTAGGCTACATTATGTATGTGATGTTGTTGTCACTGTTTTTCCTCCTGTCTCTCTCATATTGTATGACACATGACTGAGTGTAGCCAAGCAGTGGAGGAGTAATTTTTCACTGACACCACTTGAAAACATTTTTATAGAAAAATAAGGGATGAAGAATGAAAAAGAGCAGAAAAGAAGAAATAAAATACCTTAACGATAGATCTCTACATTAGTTCATCATGAAGCAAAAGAGAAATAATAAAAACTCTTCTTCAGGTGCCAATTCAATCGAGATGAACCGGACTAGGTACTCTATTGTTACAGTGTAAAAATAGATGACAGTGAGTAATGGTGTGAACAAAAAACCATGAGGAACATCACAGGAATGGATGTTGGATGGCCTTTGCACAGCAGAGGTAGATAAAGGTTATAACAAACTGTTTACTGACCATGTACACTTACTAGAATTAAGAGGTCAGTTGAACAAGAGCTCACCTAGTAAGAGCTTTCTCAGTAGTGTGACTTATCAGCTGTTGTACAGTACCAGAGCACTGCCCAGTTATTGCTCCATCACATTTCAGTAACATTTCTGTCCTTCAAAAGTCTACATTCTACCATTAGTTAAGGCTTTTTCTTTTGCATTTCTACATTTTCCCCCAATTTTGCATCAATTCACTGTAATTAATACATGTGCCTCTAAAAGAAAAGAAAATAAATAAAAAAGCACCATGTTTTATTGAACAAAATATAGCATGTGCAAGGAAGGGAAGGGAGGAATTATAGAAACAAACCAGTGCTGAAGAATTTTGCATTAGCTGGTGCTTTTTGTTGTTGTTGTTGTATTTGCACAGATCGTTTTAGGCTCCTCAGTCCAGGTTGTAGCAAAACACTATCAAAACAAATACTCTTGCAAAATATTTGAGCTTCGCAGCTTAACATGTGCATCTTGAACCGCTTAAGCAGCATGGTTATCTTCTTTTTGTTTTTCTCCAGAATTTAACAGACCGTAAATTGTATACAAAAACGCATTATGCACCAGTGATTAAATGTTCTTACAACATTAATATTTATCAAGGGGTATTTCATAGCTAGAAAGTAGGTAACTATATTTTATTTCCTAAGAGAACATTTTCTATAGTTTTCCTTCATTTCCCAGCTACACAGCAAACATCTCTAAAGTGCACTTCCCAAGTGTAGTTAGAGAATAGGAAGGAATGTAAAGTTTTTAAAAACAGCCCTTATTAACTTTTCCTTCCATTGATTCTACTGTAAACTCTAAAAAGCCTTTTTAAAAAGCAAATTCTCATACACTCAGCAGGTGAAATGTTCTCACAAAAAATAAAAGTAAACAAATTCAAAACCACCCCGAACAATGAAAAACCAGCATATTACAATCTTTTCTCTTGACTACTCATATCCTAGTATATATTTACTGTTTTTATTGCACATTTATGAAAACAGTTGTCCTATATATTTAAAAAAAAATATTTTCTTTATCTGTGCTAACACATTCTTGTGCATTCTTAATAAACTAGTTACTTTCAACAACATGTAGGCAATAGAAAAACAATGGAATCAAACCAAGGAGATAATTTGTATTGTAGATGTTAAAAGACTTCTAGTGTAATTCAGTTGTGAAAAAAGAGTTGAATTTTGGAAGTTCTTGGCTCCCATTTGTTATGGAAAGCTGCTGGTTATGTGGCAGCAGGAGAACTCAAAACGTGATTCACAATGAATGTCAATCCTTCACCTCCAATATGAAGGCTTCCCAACCATTCAACTTGCTGAGCATAACTGGTTTTACTTAACACATCTAGAAAAGGCTGCTCCTGTTCAACTGACCAGTGAGAAAGGACTGGACTTCTTCAAAACGGGTATTGGAGCAACAGTTTGTTATATATATATTTCTTTATACTTTTTAACTGTCCGATCCCACCTTGTAAGGAGAGCACTTGTTTGTTCAGCTAAAAGGAACCCCCTTCATGCTCCTTTTGGGTTTGCTCAGTCAACTGTTTAGTGCAACAGTGGCAGAGGCACACTGGAATTGTGTACCCATTCATTGTGATTACACAGACAGAAGCAAATGTATGTTGTCTGTGAAGGTAGATGGGAAAGGGAAAGGAAATGAATGGTTCCCATGGATAAGAGGACAGTAAGGTTTGTTTGGGGTTCTTTTCATGGTTGCTTTTTTTAAATTTTTTTTATTATTTTATCTTTTTTGGTTAAATTTTGTTTTGTTGTTCTTTTTGTGGGTTTTTGTTGGGGTTTTTTGTGGGCTTTTTTTGGTTTGTTTGGGGTTTTTTACTGTTTTTTTTTCTTTTTTTTCCTTTTTTAAAATTTTTTTAATTTTTTTTTTTATTTTTTGCTATGTCATGAAATCATAGCAGTCATTCCTCTAATAGAAACTGACAGGACATAAAAGACAGAACTATCAGATGAACACACACAATGACTAGAAATATATCGACAGAGAAAAGACTTAATTTAGCCTCAAGAAACTGTCCCAAAAATAAAATCCTGTATTAACAAGTGCAAAAAACAAACAAAAAAAAAAGAAACTCCAAACATTAAAACACAGTGTATAAAATGGTGTGAGAAAGTTAAGTCACCAAACAGCCTTTTAGTCAATAAAAAGCTGCATTTGTGTGTCCTTGTTGTTTAGGTAGTGGCCCATACTTTTCATTTTACCCAAAATGTCATTCAAGAAGAGCTCTGAGGGTAAAGCACTCAGTCTTTGCTATTTTTTACTGTAGTAATTTGGGCCTGTTGTGTTTCTATCATGTAAGATGAATCCTTTCTTTTATTCCTCATTGGTTGAATTATCTTCCAAAGTTGTTATGCTTCCAAAGCCCAGTCCTGTTGAGTTCTGTGCTGCTGAGACTGTAAGTACTGTATGTAACAGAATTAATACAAGAACACACAGTTTAAGTCTGCTGTTACACAGTCTTGATGCTGATGAAACTGTGAGCGATGTCCTGTGACACATTGTTGAGCCACTTGTTTTTATAGTCCCTTTGGGTTGATGATCTGATAATAGTCCCCATCTGACATCACAGCATTCTGGTTCTGCATTGGTTGGATAGTTTTCATAGAGCCCTGTAGGGTAAACACAAAAGAAAAATAAATACCAGGCACAAGGTTTGGCAGAAGTAGTAGCTTGAAGGAACAGCTGACATTTAGTCTAATCTGTTGAATCCATATCTTTGGGTGAGACTGAGGCCCTTAGAAGTCCTGTCATTCCATTACAGATATTGAAGGAATATCCATAATCTGAGAGGAAGAAGCATCAAAAGGTCCTTCAGCAGAAGCATGACACTGAGCATGATTGTGTAAAGAAGCAACATTAAAAAGCAGTTGGTGTTTGAATGATAAGGGTGTTTGAATTCTTCCTTCTTGGGAAGTAACAAAAATTAACAAAGTAAGAATGAATCAATCCGGATGTTTCCACAAAATTTGGACTTCAAAATTCTTCTTTCAGTATGTGAGCACATAAAGACATGCATTTAATAACAAATCATGATGTACAGATGATACTGGCTATTGTGATTTTCAAACCTATGTAAATTAAACTGCATTGCAGGAATAGCTTCCTAGCTCATTGGAGTTCCTCCAGATGGATATTGCCTTCAACACATCCCAGAGGTGAAAAAAATCTGTCTTGGACACAATGATTTGATCTCTTGATGTTTCTGATTATACAGATGGGTAATTTTTGCCTTTGAATTTTACTGAGTTCAAATGATCTGATTATAACTTTTTGAACACTAAGACAATTGACAATTTTGGAAATTGTCAGTGTTGTCTACATTACTATATAGGAGATTAACATAACCAGAGTGTTCTGTTTGCTTCTCACATACCTTTTCCTTTGATAAATAAAATAAACTAATTTGGCTATTTAACTAGTGTTCAAATGCAAGAATGTTAAACATAATCAACAAACACCTTTTCTCCATTTAAACTGATCTTAGATTAAATTCTGCAGTAAATAATATACTCCGTGGTAGAACTAGGTTTTTCTAGGAAAAAAATCTATCTGTGGTAAAATATTAGGATAGTGATTTTGAAAGCAGCTTTATTTTTTAGAGAAAGAAGTATATTTTCTCCAAAATACAACAACAATATTACTTTCAAAAAGCAATTTAGGTGTGACATTTTGAGGTCCAGGCACCAGATTTCTTGAACTTTGTGAATAACTTGTAAAAAAAAGCAGCACACCTTAAAATATGATAAACCTGAATGCTTTGGTTCCTACTTCCATAAACAAAAAATGCGTTAGGTATGCTAAGAATGTTAAGATGCCTAGGTTGAAATATTTTTACATAGTTGACACAATTTTGTGCTATGCTATATCTGAGTCCAAATAAAGTTGCATTTGTTTTTGGATTTAACTAAACTTTTAAAGAATGAAATGAAATGCAATGAAAGGAATGAAAGCAACTTGTTGCATGTTCTGTAAATTCAGAGTTTATTCTATGCTAAAACTGACCAATTTTTCCACTTCTGCAGTCAGAAACTTAATACAGCATTCCAAAGGTTGAAAATTATTTATTCTCACTCTAGATCATAGCTGAAAGAATCACATTTTTCTTTAAGAAATTCTGTTGCATTTTGGAACTTCTGGACAATTGTTCATTGAAGGTATAATAAAAGAGTCTTATTTTCTGAGACCCATCTTTTCTGCATAAGTCTGTTTTCAAACATTGCAACATACAGTCAATGCCTCCCAAAGTAGGGAATTATGATTTGTTCTGTGAATTGCAGCAGCTCAAACGATTAGTAGTAATTGAAGAGACACAGAGACTAGTTAATGCTTTGATCCCACTGAGGCTTGTTTACTTTTCAAACTATGTTTTCTGCCTTTCTTGTTACTGGAAAACCCAGACTTCCTTTGACATCAAAGCTATGTATATAAGTTGGCAATCAAAAGGTATTTAAATAGTTCATATGCACTTACTGAATTATTAATAAATTGATGACAACTCTACATTCAAAGATGAATTGAACATGTTCCTTAATATAAAATTGCATTTCCTCTTTATTTCAATTCAGCAATTGAATTTAGGTTTTGAATTTGCAGTTCCATATTAAACAAACAATTAACTACAGAGCCTCTATTCATATGACAGTGTAGAAGATTTAGATAAATTCAGTAAAACCTTTTGTACTGAACAAAATACATGTTATTTGCCACATACTTGTTTGTAGTCACAAATATAAGTTTTTGCCCCTTGGATCTAATTAGTCCATCTATTAAGTCAGAGGGTTGCAAGTGCGTGACTTAACTGGAAATCCAGGTAAGCTGGCTACATCTTGGAAAATCAAGGAGGAAAAAACAGTTTGTTCTTTTTTCAAAATATTCATAGAATAATGGAACTGGGTTGGAGGAGACCTTAAAGATCACCTAGTTTCAACCTCCTTGCTGTGTGCAGGGACACCTTTCACCTGGTTGCTCAAAGCCCCACCCAACTTGGCCTTGAACACTTCCAGGGATGTGGGCTCCACAGCTTCTCTGGACAACCAGTTTCAGTTCCTCACCGCCCTCACAGTAAAGAATTTATTTTCAAACTTCCTTCCTAATATCTAATCTAAACCTACTCTTTCAGTTTGAAACCATTCCCCCTTATCCTATCACCACTCACTATTTAAAAAAAAGTCTTTCTCCATCTTTCTTCCAGGCTCACTTCAAGTAGTGGAAGGCCACAATTAGGGCAGACAAAGCCTTTTCTTTTCCAGAGTGAAAAATCACAATTCTCTTAGCCTTTCCTCATAGGAAAAGCACTCAGTTCCTTTGATTGTCTTGGTGTCCCTCCTCTGGACTTGTTCCAACAGGTTGATGTCCTTCCTGTGCTGAGGACCCCAGAGCTGGATGAGATGTTCCAGGTGAGGCATCACCAGAGCAAAGTAGAGAGGTAGTGCTGGCCCCTCTACTGACTCCTTTGCCCTGCTGGCCATGCTACTTTTGATGCAGTCCAGGACACTTTCTGGGCTGTGAGTGCACATTGCTGGATCATGTCCAGCCTCTCATCCCTAGAACTCCTAAGTCTTTCAGGGCAAGGCTGCTCTTGATCTGCTCATCCCCAGCCAGTTTTTACATCAGGAGTTGCCTCGACCCTAGCACCTTGTACTTGATGTTGTTAAACCTCATGGGATGCCCCTGGGCCCACTTCTTGAGCTTGCCTAGGTCCCTCTGGATGGCATCCCATCCTTCAGATGTGTCAACTGCTCTACTCATCTTGGTAACATCTGCAAATTTACTAAGGTGGAACCTGTTCTCTTCATTGAGAAAGATATTAAATAACACTTCATTGTAGAAGACCACTCAGTGGGTCAGGAAGGACTGGCCCTTGTTGAAGCCATGTTGACTGTCTCAAACCACCTCCCTGCTCTCCATGTGCCTTAGCACAGCTTCTAGCACAGGATCTGTTCCGTTATCTTCCCAGCCACAGAGGTGAGTCTGACAGGTTTGTAATTCCCAGCCTCTTCCTTGACCTATCAACTCTTACGCTTTTTAAAGATAGTCACTCACCTGGGACTTGACTTGATTGCTATGACTTTTCAAATATCATGGAGTGTGGCTTGGCAACTACATCAGCCAATTCCCTTGGGTCTCTGGGGATGTAACCCATTTGGTCTCATAGACTTGTGTACATCCATGTTCCTCAGGAGATGGTGAACCTGATCTTTACTTACAGTGGGAGGGGCTTTGGCTCCAGTCTGCATCCTGCTGTCTGTCCAGTTAAAAGATATAGGAAGAGAGGTTGCCATTCAAGACTGAGGAGAAACTGTTGTTGAGTATCTCAGCCTCCTCCTCATCCATTATCAGTTTTCCAACAATGTTTATAGGGATACACCTTCATTTGCCTTCCTTTCCTTGTTAATATATGTATAGAAGCCCTTTTTTTTATTCTTTGCATGGCTTTACAAGTTCAGTTCCAGCTTCCTCTTGACCTTTCTTGCCCCACCCCTACATAATCTGGTTTCATCTCTATGCTTTTCCAAGGTTACCTGTCCTTGCTTCCACTGCCTGTGCACTTACTTCTCTCTCTTTTGTTTGACTGGTATTTTTGTTTAAGTATTAAATACATGGGTATAAGAAATAAAAACAATATCTGTATCCACCAAACTACCAAGGCTTCCCTCGTCCTCTCTTGTCTGTATAGTTCAGTTTGTAGACATAATTATTTTATATTAATTGCTTTTTTGGTAACTATATTTCTGAGGCTGACCACTCAGCTCTTACTGGTTTGACATGTACTTTGCTTTTCACTTAAAATTCTCAGTTCTGTGTCTTCATTTCCCAACTTTTCCCAGCACTCAGCTATATTTAATCTGAAGAAATCTTAGTCCATATGGAGGTACTTGGACCTTTATTATAATCAAGGATCTAGAATTTGCCAAGAGACTTTGATTTTAAGCCATTCTCCAGACAGATTCACTATCACTCACAAAGTTCATGCAAAAGCTCTCTCTTTTCTTTGTAATCAGATAGGTTTTTTCCACATGAAGATAACATTTTGGTGATCAGCACAGAAGTTACATCTGTAGGGACTACGTGTTACTAATGCTGATGCAAGTATTAAGGCTACTGGTTCCACTGAGATTGTTAATGGAGACATGAAGAGGAAAATCCTGTATGTCCTGCCTAGCTGAATCAGAAAGAAAAAAAAGGAGTGACAGCATGAATACCATATTCACTTTATAGAATGTGCCTTGGGGGAAAAGCAGCAAAGCCCAAAAAGTTCTTACACAAAAATTGGAATCACAAAGACTGTCGATGCATGCATGGTCAGCTGATCAGCTAGAACACCATCTAACTCAGAGACTGTTGTGGTTTCTGCTTGAGCAGTTGCAGGAAACAGCCTGTAAAAGCACTGGTTGCATTCCTATGACTCTCAGCACTGTATGAATTTGTGACACTTGTGTCTGAATTTGGATCTGCAGCAGGTGGTCTAACTTGGCTTCTTGGTTTATTTGTAGAGAAGGAGTTATGGAGCCATAATATTCTACATTATGGGTAGCTAGTCTGGTTGATATATGTGTTGTCATTGGTGGATAAGTATTTGGGAAGCCATAGAAAAAAAACAGATCTTATG